CAGTTCTCAGATATATTGTACAGGAAGCAGAGTAAATAGGAAAAAATAGATCATTCAGATTGTTCAGAACATCTATTTGCAACAGGGAATATATTTCCCTGGCTTGATGGTTTATTCAGACATTTGCCTGAAGGATGGGAAGGAGTATATTTATACCTCTTTTTACTACAAGTTAGTTTATCTAGTCAACAGCTGTTATATTAATTTTGCATGTTTTTCAGAGAGACTGTCAAATATGAATTAAAAAACCCCCTAGAAAACGTTATAGCAGGGGCGGGCAATTATTTTGGGCAGAGGGCCACTTACTGAGTTTTGGTAAGCCATCGAGGGCTGCATGGCAGGCAGCCAGGGGCAGATAAATATTCATTTTCTAAATTTTTTAGGGGCCCCATAGGCCGGATAGAATGGCCTGGTGGGCCACATTTGACCTGCGGGCCGGATTTTGCCCACCCCTGCGTTATAGAAACCAAAGCTATTTTTTAGAATAGAAACATGTACGTGTGCACCAGCACGTCTGTAGGGGGAAGAAACTGTGTTCTCTGTTTACACGTAGGACAGTATTTAAGATAAAACTATTCCTCATTCTGCAGCATAAACAGACCAAAGAATAAGTGCCACTGTAGCATTTTGACAAAGGTTTTCCCCTAGTACTGGAAGGTGTTTTCCCTTATTGTTTGAAGTAGATGAACAATATGGTAATAATTACAGACACTTCAGTTATATGTTAACAATATTTTGATAATTGTCAGCATCTACTTTTACAGAGTCAGTCAAGGGTCATCGTGTTTTTTACCATTTAGGGATGCACTGATAAAGATTTTTTGGGCAGATACCAATGGCTGATTATTAACCAGCCATATTGGCCAGTACCAATCCAGTTGACGATATGCAGCCCGGCAGCTAGGTCAGCAGTGTTCGGCTGGTAAATCTGCTGGGTGTGGGGAGGGAAGGGGCATGGGGAGGAGGGCAGGGGTAGGCCCTGCCCAACTGGGGTGGGGCAGGGTGTGGGATAGAGCCACGGGTGGCTCATGAGGAGGGAGGGGACAGCTCCCGCTGCTGCGCTTACCCCAGGGGAGGTGTGTGCCCCCCCAGATTTGTGTACAGGGCGAGGGCAGGCTGCCTGCTGTGGACTTGGGGCCGGGGGCTGTGCCAGCTTCTTCATGGTGGTGGGGGCTGGGCTGGGGCTTCGTTTGGGCCAGGTGCAGCAGGGTGGGTGGGCAGTAGTGGTGCTGGGAGGGGTGGCTATGTGGGGGCTAGCACTACCCCAAAATTAATTGCAACTCCCCTGTAATCACCCTCCTAGTGCTGCCACCTCCTGTCCCACTCCCGCCCACCCTGAGCGCAGCCCCAGCCCATCCTCACCAGCAGGAAGAGGTTGGTGCCACCCCTGGCCTCGAGCCTGCAGCGGGCAGTCTGCCCTCGCTCCACGCACAGATCTGGAGGCATGTGCCTACCCATGCCTCCTCTGGAGGTCCACGCTGTGGCGGTAGTCGCGCCCCCCAGATGAGCCACCTGTGCCCCATTCCATGCCACACCCTGCCCCGCCTTTGCTGGGCAGCACCTGCCCCAGCCTATGCTCCTCTCCCTTCCCCTCCCCATACTCTCCAAGCTGCTGGACTGCATTCCTGGCCATGTGCATGCTGCGGCTGCGGGCATGCATGTGGCATTTATCGGCGACATCGGCCCCATCAGCCAAAAAAAGCCAATTACTGATAATGTCAATGTTGCTTTTATTGGTGCCGATATGATATGGATTGATCTATCGATGCACCTCTAGTTTCATCTGCTTTCTAACTTACTGGCTGCATCTACACCAGATGCTGAGTGTACAGTTGTTACTGCAGAGTCATATAGTACTTGTATACCAAAATACTAAATCATTGTGCAGTAACTGTTGTTATTGGTGCACGGCTTTCTGGTGATGCTGACTGCAGTAGCTTATTAGTGCTGCATAGTAGTATCGCATCATGGTTTGTGCCCTGTGACACTACTGAGCATTAGTAACAAGATACTGTGTAGTAAGCATCCTGTGTGTTTAACTGCATTAGTGAAAGAGGTACAGGGTGTGTAAGCAGAAGTGTTTGTGAGTACGTGCATGCATATGTTCTCTGGGATCTACCAAGTTTTCAGTAAGTTTGCTGCATAATTAAGCTTTATGTTTAAATTAAGCATCTCAGCAATTGTTGATTTGAACAAAAACAATATGTACTTTCAAACAGAATAAATCCTAGTGAGATACTACCAGTTTTAAGGCCCCAAAATTAGGAGTGAACCGATAAAGATTTTCTTGGCCAATACTGATAGCCAATTAGTAACCAGCCATATTGGCTGATACGGATCTGGTAAGTAGGAATGCAGCCAGGCAGTGTGGAGAGCAGCTCCCTGCAGGTAAGACTGTGAAGGGGAAGGGGCGTTGCGGGGTGCAGATCAAGGTCCCCACAGTGAGGGAGGGAGTGGAGTAGGGGCAGGGGCTGGGGTGGGAGGGGCGCTGTCCAGCCAGGGTGGTGAATGGGACCCTGGGCTGAGGTGGGGAGTGAGATGGAGCCACAGGCAGCTTATCCAGGGGATCAGTGTCCTGGCACACAAAAATAACGGCGGGGTGCTTGAACTAAAGCTTGTCAAATGAGCTTTAGCTGCCGCCACCATTTTTAAGCACGGAGTTGCTTTTAACCGGAGCAGAGCCAAGCGGGGCGAGGGTGGATGCGGGTTGCCCACTGCAGGCTCAGGGCTGTCTGCCCTGCTGCTTTTGTCCCAGAAGCCCTGTGCCGGCTGCACGCCCCCTGCCCACCCAGCAGTGGGCGGCACAACTCACCACTCCCACTGGTGCCAGGTGGGCAGGGGGTGTGAGGTTCCTGGGACAAAGGCATCAGAGCGGAGAGCCCTGAGCCCACAGCGAGCACTCTGCACCTGCCCCACGCACAAATCTGAGGGGGTACATGCCACCCCCCATACGTCCCCCAGAGGGAACAGGGAGCTTTTCCACGCACACCCCTGGATGAGCTGCCTGTGGCTCCATCCCTCTCCATGCTCCAACCCCGAGTCCCTTTTACCGCCCTGGCTGGGCAGTGTCCCCAGCCCCTGCCCTTCTCCCTCCCTCACTGTGGGGGCCTCTATTTGCCTCCCCCATGCCCCTTACCTCCCCTACTTCCCTTCCACAGACTTACTTGCTGGGAGCTATTCTCCATGCTGCCTGGCTGCATTCCTGGCCATGTGTATGCGTGTGACCACGTGCATGCATGTGGCGTCTAGAGGCCCTGGCAAGAAGGCATAATTATGTTTATCGGTGAAAATTATCTGCTACACCAGCCAAAAAAAGCTGATAGCCAATAACGTAAATTTCCCTTTTATCAGTGTTGATCTGATAGGCAGTTGATATAACAGTGCACCTCTACCAAAAACGTTAAATGAATCAGAGACTCATGTTCCTTGCTGTAGATTTGGAATATCTTGACTTCAGAAAAGCCTTTGACCTGGTTTCCCATAATCACCTCTTAGAAAAACTGGCCAATTGTCGCCTTGGGTCGTGAGAGCGACTCCATGTGAGAGAGAGTCCATTGTTATACAGTGTCAATGAGTGTTAAACACATGTGTTAAGATGAGTTATCATGGCGGAGAAGTTATGATTTATTACATTTTGAGATATTTACTTTGAGCTAGATCCTCAACTGGTATGTAGGGTTTTTGTTTTTGGGGGGGTTTTTTCCAGTGGAGTGAATGAAGGCATACACTTGACAAATTTCATATTGTTGCGTTGTTTTCCACACTGAGGTAAAAAGCCTGACAGAAGAAACTTCACGAAGAGATGAACATGAGCCTGCAGTGCGATGCTGCGGCTAGTAAAGCGACCAAAACGCTGGCTTGCATCCATAGATTCTTCTCAAGCAAATCCCGGGACGTCATTCTCCCCTTGTACTCGGCCTTAGTGAGGCCGCAGCTGGAGTACTGCGTCCAGTTTTGGGCTCCACAATTCAAAAAGGATGTGGAGAAGCTTGAGAGAGTCCAGAGAAGAGCCACGCGCATGATCAGAGGTCAGGGAAGCAGACCCTACGATGACAGGCTGAGAGCCCTGGGGCTCTTTAGCCTGGAAAAGCGCAGGCTCAGGGGTGATCTGATGGCCACCTATAAGTTTATCAGGGGTGACCACCAGTATCTGGGGGAACGTTTGTTCACCAGAGCGCGAGGGATGACGACTAGGTCGAATGGTCGTAAACTACTACAAGACCGTTTCAGGCTGGACATAAGGAAGAATTTCTTTACTGTCCGAGCCCCCAAGGTCTGGAACAGCCTGCCACCGGAGGTGGTTCAAGCGCCTACATTGAACATCTTCAAGAGCAAACTGGATGCTCATCTTGCTGGGATTGTATGAACCCGGCTGACTTCCTGTCCTTTGGGCAGGGGGCTGGACTCGATGATCTCCCGAGGTCCCTTCCAGCCCTAATGTCTATGAAATCTATGAAATAATTACTTTTTTAATAGTGGAAAATAAAATTGTAGCTCAAATATAATTGTTAAGATAAATTGCAAAGATGAGTGTGATCATTTGGAGTTGCCCATGTTTTGGTGGTATTTAGTTCTAGCTGTGGTATTGTAGGTCACAGAACATTCATATTTTTTTATAAATAACCAAACAGTCAGACTTCTGGAAACTATAGGTTACAAAGGCTTATTAGCAGGTCTCATAACTACACTGGTTCCTTAAACTCAGTACAGATGAGATACTTTATGATTAATTAGCTAAACCCCAGAGCAGCTTGCAAATTATTTATTTATTATGTGTTAAACTGCATCATTGCATTTGCTCTGTAAATAGCCATTTTCTAAAATATTTAAGCATTCTAATAAATACAGGGAAAATATTGTTAGGTCAGATGTTGTCTACTACATATCCATTGGGCTGGATAATTTTTACATATGGGAAGAAAATGCTTTTATTTTTTATTTATTTTTAATTCCTTAAAGCCAAGTTCACATTGAATTGTCCTCAAGCCCCTTGTTGGCACTACTGGCAAGGACATTGCTATTGCATTGAAAGGAGTCGTACTGGAACTTGGATTGAAGCATTGCGATACTGCAAACGATATCGAGACACAGAGCTATTAACAATCACGAATCCTTCAGAAAAAGTAAGTATTGGGCTGTTTATGTAATTTTTAAACTCGTCTACAAGACCACTTAGACTTAACTTATTTTGTTTCTAGTCCCTATCTTCTTTCTTGAAGAAGCACAAGAGTAACATTTCTTTTGTATTTCTGGTGAATTTCATCTTTTCTTACCCTGAATTTCTGTGCACGTTCTGCGTGTGTGCTTCTCCATCTGTTCTGTAGTGTGGGAAGAGAGAAGCTGTTACAAGTTGGGACAGTTGTTTTCACATGTAAGCTTCAAAGGGATTTCCATGAATGCAGAGATGGTTAGCTATGTTGGTATGAAGAGAGACAAGCTAGTGCAGGGTGGCATCTGAGAGACTAACTAGTTCAGAGGCATGAACAGTCTGCTTTGTCAGATGCTAGGACTGCTGTTGCTAGCATCTGGTGCCATCTTGACCTGCCTTTTGCCTGTCATAGGGATTTGAGCTCAGATCTTAAGAGGAAAACTTGTTTGTTAGTTACTCCATAAGATACTCTGCCTTTTTATAGTGTTGTTATAAACATATAGCTATCTTTATTTCAGTCTGAGATCTAAGAGTATTTGGTCAATGTTAATTGAAGTCTTGCAGCACCCTCATGCCATGGGAAAATTAGGCAACAACAGAGCACTGACTTGCTAAATTCTTTCAGTTCTAGGACTAGATCCTGAGAGTCCTGACTCCATGTCCTGCACTGCAGCCATCAGAGCCCATTTGATGCTTTGTACAGCTGTTTTCCCGGGAATGAGGCTAGAGACAGATATGTTGTTTTGCCTATGCAAAAGGTGACCTCTTTTTTTCTGTTTTGGAACACTCCAACATCAGGATACTTTGGAGCAAGGACTTTACATTTGGCAGTGAGTGGCCTTTATGCCGGGGATGTGCTTATAGCTGCCCTGGTGAAAATCTTTACAAATTTGCCTTTTTTTTAGTAGAAATATGGCTGTTTTTATATGTTCTGTGTGTTGTTTTGCCTATGCAAAAGGTGACCTCTTTTTTTCTGTTTTGGAACACTCCAACATCAGGATACTTTGGAGCAAGGACTTTACATTTGGCAGTGAGTGGCCTTTATGCCGGGGATGTGCTTATAGCTGCCCTGGTGAAAATCTTTACAAATTTGCCTTTTTTTTAGTAGAAATATGGCTGGTTTTATATGTTCTGTCAAATCAAATGGGTTTCTTTTGAAAACTCAGTGTCCCTTCCCCTTGTGCTATGCAGGCATTGTGGAGGAGGGAGCTGTTTAATTTGAGTGCAGAGTGTACAAGAGCTAGATCCTAGTGGTGGGGGGCAAGGAGTAGTTGGGTATAGGGATTATGGGATTGTGACTGACTGAGTTAGAGGTCTGGATTGGAGGAAAGAGAACAAGAGACTGGGAGACAGACAGGGGAGAAGGAAAGCTATACTTCTTGGGGTAGGAGAACAGGAAGCGGTATGAAAAATGGGAAGAGGCTGAGAGCCAGTTGGCTGAAAGCAAGACACTGAAATTGGATGAGGAGCTGAAAAGAGAAGAGACTGAGGAAAGCTGTACAAGTAGGTAGGGACAAGAAAATTGGACTCAAGAAGAATCTGGGGAAGGCGCAAGAACTGGCAGCAAGAAATCAGAAAAAGACAGCTCCGTAAAGGAGTATGGAGCTGGCAAGTGAGACTAGCAATGCAAGGAGCTGAGAGAAGAGACATTTATACCCTGTATATGCAAATTTCTTAGAATTGTTCATAGACTTATTTTGTAAAAGCAGTAAATAACTTGTCAGAAAGCTGTTGAGTATTCTCTGCTAAGTTCTCAAAGCATTTTACAATGTCTCCTCTAGTTAATGCTCAGAGAGGTTCATGCCAAAATTTGCAGTCATAGAAACACTGAAAATTCATCAGCTAAACCAAGATTCTCTTCTCCAAAAGTGCTGAGTACATATGAAACCTCCTGAAGCTGCAGCTTGAGGTATTCAGAGCTCCTGTCATCTGTTTCTGATGTCTGGTCTCTGCAACCTTCCTTCCCATTCATTACAGCAGTTATACCCGGGGAATTTGTCTTCAGAGCCTAATTTACACCTTAAAAGCAGCATTCAGAAAATAATCCAGTTATTTCTCTGGTTATATGTAAACCTGTTGGGCACTTTGGGGATTAGGGACTAATGTGAATGCCATGTAAAGGAGCAGTAGAAAACCAGTAGTTAATCACTGCCAGCGGCAGTCTCTGTTAGTCCCATACAGTGTCTTTAGTCCAACTGTACTCCATCATGTTAAAAACTGTCACTTTAGCCTGGTCACGCTTGGTCGGCATGTGTTGGTGACACTTATCAAAGACAGCTGCTCTCTTCACAATGATTGAACCTGCCCAGGCACTTTTGACCTCAGCAGCATTGCTTATGGAGGTCCTTTCTCAGGCCTGCTGATGGCGACTCTTAACCAGCTTGTGTCTGAATTTTAATCACAATAAAAGTTGTGTAGTAAAGGGGGGATAAATTCAAGGGAATTTTGTGAAAGCTCCAGGAGGCATTGGGAAGTATTTCCTTTTAAATCAGAAATGAGAAATTTCTGATATCACCATGCAGTCTACTAAGAAACCTAAATGGTAGGGGTGCACCGATAAAGGTTTTCTTGGCCCATTCAGCTGATTGTTAACCAGCCTTATTGGCTGATACTGATATGATAGCCAATTGACAGGAATGCAGCCTGGCAGGGTGGAGAGTAGCATCCTGCCAGTAGGTCTGTGGTGGGGAAGGGCCATGTGGGGGCAGACCAAGGCCCCCCACAGTAAAAGAGAGAGTGGTCCTGGGGCAGGGGCAGGCACTGCCCTGGGCAGTAAATGGGACCCTGGGGCTGGGAGCAGGACAGAGCTACAGACAGCTTGTCCAGGGTGGGGTGCCGGGGGAGGCGCTCCCTGCTGCTGTGCGCATCTTTGTGGGAGGCATGGGGGGTCATGTGCCCTGCCAGATTTGTGCACCGGGCGAAGGCGGGCTGCCCACTGTGGGCTCGGGGCCAAAGGCAATGTCAGGCTCTTCCTGGTGGGGGGTTTGGCTTGGAGCTGGTAGGAGTGCGGCAGGATCAGCTGCGCAGGGCAGGCAGCTCTGGGAGGGTTGGGTATGTGGGATCTTTGGGATGGCTATATGGGTATGGGGGAATTTTGGGAGGACTATAGCTCCCCAAACTCCCCCATGTGCTACCCCTGCGGGGGGCACTCCACTCTTCTGCCTTTCCCTTAGGAGCCCCCATAGGCTGCATGCCCCCTGCCCACCTTCCAGTGCAGGGCTTCCAAGGGAAAGGCAGCAGAGTGGAGTGCCCTGAACATGGGTGGCATTAGGGGAGAATTGGTGGGGGGGAGGGGCCTATAGCCACCCTAAAATTCTCCATAGCCCCACCATACGCACCCCTCCCAGTGCTGCTGCCACCCACCCCATGCAGCTGAGCCTGCCCTACTTCCGCCTGCTTTGAGCCCATCCCCGGCCCTGCCTCTAGGCTGGGAAGAGACTAGCACAGCCCTTGGACCCGAGCCCACAGTGGGCAGCCTACCTCCTCCCCGCACACAAATCCAGGAGGACACATGGCCCCCATGCCTCCCCCGGGGCTGTGCCCCCCCTGAGCCCGGACGAGCCTCCCGCAGTTCTGTTCTGCTCCTGGTCCCAGGGTCCCATTCGCTGCCCCAGCCCCAGTCCCTGCCCTTGTCCCATGCAATGGGAGCCTCAGTCTGCCCCCGCTCATGCCCCTTCCCTCCCCCACTCCCCTTCCACCTCACAGACTTACCGGCAGGACACTGCTCTCCAAGCTGCTGGGAGAGCTGCTCCATTCCTGGTCGTACGCATGGTGGCTGTGCACATGCATGCATCATTTACTGGTGACATTATTGGCTATGCTGGCCAAAAAAAGCCGATAGTTGATAATGGTAATTTTCCTTTTATCGGTCCTGATTTGATATGGCACCACTATATTGGTGCACCTGTACTAAATGGAGGTTTCAGTGGAGCAAGTTCCACTACTATACTGCATGGTTTTGTAGTATCACCCATAGGGTCTTCACATTTGCAGACTTCATTGTTGAACAAGGTTTGTCCCGATAGTCTTTGACAAGGTTGCTTTAAATGTGGAGACTTAGTTACTGTTTTTACAGTTGTATGAGTCCATTGAGTGTGTTGCAATTATTTATCCTGGATTTATATTATTGAAAACAAGAAGCAAATCAGTTCTTTGGACAAAAGTGCAATGGGAACACATCAGCACAGGAAATGAATTTAAAAAAGAAACAATAATAAGTGAGTCATTTTCTTTGCTTCAGGTGTGTTAGTAATTTAAAAAAATGCTGCCAGATTCTTTATGCAGTTCTTCTTAACAGACTCACTGCAGTTTATTTCTATTAAAGGATGTAGATCTTGTAGGTTCCCCTGAACTAGGGCTGTTGAGCATCTTTCTTTAAAAACACTAATAATTGCAAAGACAAGACATTTAAAAAGCAAAAAAAAGAGCATGTCATCTTGTGAATTTGATACATAACCAAGCCTGCATGCACTGCTTCTATCTCCCTCTTCTCTGACTGCATGGAAATTAAATGCTTTTTTATTCTGATGTTCAAGAACTCTTTAAAAATAAAATATGCCTGGGGAGAGGCTGCGCAGAGATATTGATTAGTTTGCTGCTTTATGATGCCTGCTGCCATCTGCACTGCTTTTAGTTTTGGAACTAAATGAGTCATGCATGCTGTATGCTGGTGGGAGAGTCTTTGCACGGAATTACATCAGAACTATCCTGTTGATACTGTGAGGGTGCAGGAGTATAACTAGGAGAAGAATTTGGCCTGATGTGTGAGACCATGTTGTCTAGTATTTAAAAAGACCAGAAGTCTTGCTTGAATTTTGTGCCCTACCAGAGATGTCATGTGACCTCAGAAAAGACACTTGCTTGCCTGTGTCTCAGTCCTCAGATTTCTAAAAGAGGGATAATAACTCTTTTTACAGTATTTGTAGAAGCAGTGTCTGAATTTCCTGGATGAAAGTTATTATACAAGTGCTGATTGTTACTCAAACCTGTTTAGAAAAGAATTAATCATTTCTATGATTTTTGCAGATGTGGATTTTACAGTTGCCTCTGGACAATTTTTGGATTGGATTGAATAATTTGGAAGATATGACTAATTTTAGATGGTCCGAAGGATCACCAGCAGATCTGACAGCACCCTGGTAAGTATGATTTGAAAAATTCACTTTCTAAATAAGTGTGGGTTTTTTTAAGTATACTGAGCATGTTTGCTTGATCCACTTTTATTTATTTTTTCATGAGATAAAAATAAGACTTAAAAATAATCACCTGTAGAAGGTAAAAATCTGATTACATGAGTTAGTCCTCATGTAATCAGATCAGTTAATACTCATGTAATCAGTGCAAAGTCCTGCACTTAGGACAGAACAATCCCATGCACCGCGTGTACAGGCCGGGGGGGCTGACTGGCTGGGCAGCAGCTCTGCAGAAAAGGACCTGGGGGTTACAGTGGACGATAAGCTGAAGATGAGCCAACAGTGTGCCTTTGTTGCAAAGAAGGCTGACAGCATACTGGGCTGCATTGTGGTAGGTGTGTTGCCACCAGGTCAAGGGAGGTGATTATTCCCCTATTCAGCACTGGTGAGGCCACACCTGGAGTACTGTGTTCAGTTTTGGCCCCCCCACTACAGAAAGGATGTGGACAAATTGGAGAGTCCAATGGAGGATGACAAGTATGGTGAGGGGGCTGGGGCTTCTGAGGAAAGACTGAAGGAAGTGGGCTTATTTAGCCTGTAGAAGAGGAGACTGAGGGGATTTAATAGCAGCCTTCAACTACCTGAAGGGGGGTTACAAAGAGGATAGAGCTAGACTGTTCTCAGTGATGGCAGGTGAGAGAACAAGGAGGAATGGTCTCAAGTTTCAGCAAGGGAAGTTTAGGTTAGATATGAGGAAGAATTTTCTCACCTGGAGGGTAGTAAAACACTGGAACAGTTTACCCAGAGAAGTGGTGGAAGCTCCATCCTTGGAGGTTTTCAAGATCTGGCTAGACAAAGCTTTGGCTGGGATGGTCCTTTCTGGAGCAGGGGGTTGGACTAGACCTGAGGTCCCTTCCAACTCTCGTTGTCTATGATTCTATGATAATACTAGTGAAGCAGACTGCAGCAGAAACTCTGGCTATGTCATGCAGATTAAATTATTTTGACAACGGGATTTGAACCCACTAGCTCAGATATAGACATTGCGTTGGAGAGCTTCTGAGGAAAAGATGTATGGAATATATATAACTTAACATGAAATGAAGAATACACAGCTATTCAGTGAGACCCTCAATCCCATTCCAACCTCTTTTTCACTGGGTATAATGGCTGGAGTAGCAGTAAATGCCTGTTAAAGGTTTTCTTTCTACTGGGCACAGCAATATTGTTGTAACCTTAGTAATCCAGCAGAGAAACTTCTTGCTGGTGAGACCAGAGTTCCCCCGTCACAGTGTTCTAGTAGTGGGAGAGTGGGAGATCTGGCAAATTGTCCTGTATTTCTCTCTCTGTATGAACAGCATAGGAGATGTGTGGCTTGGTGTTTAAAAGAGCTTGGTCTGTTTTCAAACTTGACTGCTATAGCACAACATAGATTTGAGAGTTCAGAGACAGAGAACGGAACCAAAAGCTAGAGCTGGTCAATATTTCAAATGTTAAATTAAAAAATGGCAACTTTCACTGAAATCTTACGGTTTTGCCTCCTGTTTTTTTCACCAACCACAGTGCTGATTAAAAATAAACAAACCAGAACATCAGAACTTACTGTGCTGTAGTGATTATGTCTCTAGATTTTTTTTTCTTTAATAGTGACTTTTTTTTCTTATTCCATTAAAATATAATGTGAGGTTTTGGATCACACACCCAGTTCAGCCAAACACTACGTACTGTGTGAAAATTTCTAACGGCAACTTGATTCCTTTGGACTGTAATGTCAAGGCCCATTGGATATGCAAGAGAAGTGCAGGTGAGAATGTGTACAGAAATTGCTTAATTGATCAATATCTAAATCAGGTATTTTCTCACAAATGTAACTTTTAACAATCCTGCAAACTCAATTATGAGTAGTGTTTGTTTTCATAAGTAGTTCCTTAGGCAGATGTGGAACTGTCATATAATAAATTTATTAATGCTTTATGTGATGATGCTGTTGAGGGAGACTATGTAACTATTAAGTGAGAAAAATAGGCAGATGAGGTTCTTTGGGTAAATGTAATATATTTTATTAGACCAACTAAATAGTTGGAAAAATTGTTCTTTGCAAGCTTTTGGGCACAAATATGCTTCTCCAGGCATAGGAAGAGTCTGCCTCATATTGCTTTAGATTGCTATATTGCTTTATATTAATGTAGACTGTTGACAAACAGTGGATAAGCTTCCATTTTCAGGATCATACGTTCCTGGTTCAACAGACTTTCAAGAGGTGTTTTTTTGCTAGTTAGACATACAGTCTTTTGTTTTATGATATTTTTCTCTGAAATGCATTGATGCTAAATAATGAGTGTGTTGCTTTAAGATGCCTACCCGGTCACTGGATACCACTGTTTTAGCTCCTGAAGAACAGCAATGCACATATTAAATGCAAGTCCCAACTGCAGCCATCACAGCTACAGTAACAAAATACACCCAGATACACCCCACTGGGTGGTCCCATGTTAGTATGGCTCCCATGCCTGAGCATGTGCTGCTGTCTTTTTTTTCATGGGTTTTTCTGACTCCTGGATATCCAGGGGTCAAAAACCCTGCAGAATAAAAACCCAGAGTAGCACACGCTTGGGCAGCACGCCCTTGCAGTGCAGAGAGCACCGAATTGTGCGGTCTGTGGCGCCCCAAACACGTTTGCGGTGCCACATGCCGCACAGCTGCGCTTACCCAGATGCGCCCTTAGGGCTCAAAGGGGCTTATAGGGAATATATTCAGGAAAAAGCATTATGGGAGTAAGCTCTTGCTACTAAGGGCTTGTTTACATTTTAATTTTTTGCTGATTTTATTATATTGGGGTTAGATTATTTCATGTCAGGAACTGAAATAAACAATATCAGTGTAAGGTATCTTTATACCAGTATGATAAGAACAAAATCACATTGCTGAGTCTTAGCACAGTCCATTTTTTCAAATGGAATTCACTATTCACTTGATATACTTAATGTATTAAACAGGAACCACAAGCTACTGTTGAGTCATCCTGTCAGGGTAGTTAAGCACGTTTTGATTAATCTTTTTCATTAGTGTTTTTGTAAATCTTAACTGGACAGTTAAGTGCTGTTCATTTTGCTCCTGTGGAGATGGTGATAACAATGAGCTCTGTATGAAAGGAGGCAGAAATGAGTTATGAGTCTTAGAAAATAATAGAAGCCTGCTGCCACGGTTTTTACTTTTTTGATTAAAGTTGAATTTCACAGAATGCTCTTCTGAAAGCCATAGGAAACTCCTTATGAGCTATGTCAACACTTTATAAAACAAAGATCTCTTGGATTTCAGCTGCCAGGATTTCATTATCTTTTTGACAATTTCTGCAGCTGTTTTTTATACTTTTTATTTGTAACAATAAGGAAAAAAGGAAATCACTTTATAAAATGCCTTTGATTTACCCAGTAGTCTGTTGAACATGGCCTGGCTTTGTGCTCTGTCTTCTGTGATAGATTTGTTTTTGAAAGCTGGTCTGCACATACAGCTTTGCAGTTTTTGAATTACTCTTGATTTCTGCATGCTGTATATGATAGATAGTTTAGAAATAGGCATTGTTCTTTCCTTTTTAAGTATCAGGATATTATTTTTTTAAAACAACAGAATGACACGAGGTTTGCAAACTGATGCAAGAAAACTAAAAGGGCAGATCAAATCTTTTTATCTTTTAACCTTTATATTTTCCCTTTGTTACACAACTTTTGAATGCTGATGACACAGAGAGAACTAACCTGCAATTTTCACATGGCCGCTTACAATAAAGCATGACTCAGAAGTAATCCAAGATCATTTCCCTGCCTCTCCTGGTTCTCAAAAATAGTTTGCTTTGTCTCAAATTTTCTGGAAAATTGTACAACTTCATAATTGTCTTTTTTAATCTTTTTCCAGTTAGACAGAAAGGTTTTGTCAAATGCCATCTTTCAGTTTGAACCTGCTGTCTGACGCTGTTCAGTTTATCAATCCAGCAGTGCTTGGGTTGAGTCAAATTCACTCCTGTGTAGTAAAGGACTGGCACGTAGCATATGTTTTACTTATGTTTCTAGTTTGAGGACTTAAGTGGTACATAGGCCCTGCTCCTGCTTGGCTTTCAGTCATTGACAAGAAGGAAAGTAGAGGCACTCAGGTAATCCTGTTGTAGTGTATATTGCAGTGTGCATGGAAAAAAAAATGAGAGAGAGCACCACCATAGAGGTCCATTCAGAATGTGGCAAATTGCAAGCTCACTCTTTTTATTATGGATTTTTAGTTGACTAAAACAGCAAGAAATCTTTAACTTTAAAGAAGTGTACACAACCAGCTGTGGTTTTGCAGGCAGAGGAGGTTGGGTTGATTGCAGAGGTTGGATTGGCACCTGAGCTGTGCCTTTGGGAGCCTAGGTGGACACCTAGCTATATTATTGCACTTTATGTTTCTTATATTTTCTTGTTCTCCCCTTCTCTTTAGATGTTGAGCGATATCAAGAGCATAAAGCCAAAGTCCTTCTCTCATCAACACGTGATCCATTAGAAGTACATGCAGATTTGCACTTTGCTAAAGAAGCCTGCCTGGAACTTAGGGAGAAGTGCACAGGAATTTCTACCTGGCAGAATGCTTATGTCCTTGCTAGAGGAACAGAATTGATGAAAAGTGAAGAGAGCAATTCCTACGCCTACGTAAAATCAGGTAAGCCTGAAATAGTCAGGTAGCCCACAGATCCCATTCACTGTCATAAGACCAGTTACAAGCCCTATCTAGAGGAACAGAAAGTGGCTTTCATTGTTTCTAATGTGATTCTGCTATTAACTGCTAGGTTAACAGTGGTAGCATGGTTATTCCTAATTCTGAGTGTCTTCTATTATTGTTCCAAGATGGTTTTACATTCTGCAGTGTTGTGTCATACAGTTAAAAACGTGTAATTTCCAGGCTTCTTTGGGTGTCCTCTCAGTCTCTATTGGCAGGACAAATTGTACCAGTGCTGCCAAAGTATAAGAGAAATGGTTGGACTCCTTTGGTATCTGTCAGGGGTTGATTTGATCCACTCCAGATTTGAGGTTTAAACACAAAACAAATTGTAACATTTCACCAAAGCTGGGTTCAGGTGCTGAAATCTAGCCGCAGAGGGAGGAGCACTGCAAGGCTTTCTAGGGGTGAAGCATACCCCTATCTGGCATACCCCCAGGTTGGCATATGGAGACAGAGCCATGGCTGTGCATACTCTTTGCCCCCCACTCTCCATTTTGCATCCAGATTCCCAAAAGAAGCAATTTGGAAGTAGGCTTTCATTGGGGAACAGGGGCCCTTTCTCTTTACTTCTTCCCTAGCTATAAAAGGTACTGTCAACAGACATATCCAGCCATTGTATCGTAACTGTGTGGCCATGAAATGCATGGCATGACAGCTTCCACTCTTGGTTTTTAGATTGTGCTATGGGTTACTTCGGAAAGGATTGTTCGTCTGTGTGCAGTTTATGTTACAATAATGGCCTCTGCAATCCATACACAGGCACTTGCAATGATTTCCACTTTTGCAGTGCCCAGAGTGCACCAACAGCCTGTCAAAGAGGTACGTAAATGATAACACAGGCATTTTCCATGGAGGAGGATTGTATTTGTTTAATGCAGTACAAAACTTTGAAGATCTGCATGTGTTTTTGGTGTCATTTTACATGTGCTAACTTTGGCTGTTGTTTCTCTTTCCCATTCATTTTGTCAGTGATTAACTAATGATCCTTTCATTAGATGCCAGTAAACAGGACCTTTTTGTATTTTTACTTCCTTCTTTGACTAGAAATGAAAAGTGTATGGTGCCCACGTTTTCCTGGTTGGTCGTATTGGGAAGGCAACTGTTACTTTGTGAGCACAGAAGCCTCTGTCAGTTGGGTAAAAGCAAGGCAGATGTGCAGAAGATTCAGAAGTGCAGATCTGCTGTGGATTGGGAGCCAAAAAGAACTGGTATTTCTTATATTTGGTGGGGAAATGTGAATGAAACACAAAAAAAGAAGAAAATTCATATATATTTTCCATTGTCTGAACTATAATCTTAGACTCAAATCTAATGTTTTAGACCTTGCAGCAGTAAATACCACTGTATTCAAAATAGGCATGCTGTCTTATGTCATTGATAGGCTTGGCTGTTGTCTCTAATTACATCTGAAACTTTTTGGATTGGACTGAATAGCAGGCAGCAAGAGTCTATATGGATTTGGTCAAATGGGAACTCAGCAGCCAAAGAACTTCACTGGTAAAGTAGTGGTTAGGATTGTGATGGGCATTTTGAGGACCAGACTTTGGTGGTGTGAACTTACATAGTTCTCCTGAAGTTAGTAGCTGTACTGATTCCACCAGCTGAGAATGATGGTCCATAAAAGGACTTAAAGACAAAACAGCATAAGTGATGTTTCACATTTTCAGTTGTCCTACAGTACTGGGTTAAGGTATAAAATATGAGTTGATGTCAAAGTGACAATAATCTTGCATCCTAGGAAAATATTGTACTGAAACTTACCTAAGTTACTGAAACTTCTTTTAAGTTCTGTCAGCATTTTGAAATTCAGAATATAATTGAGAAAAGTGTGATTTATTGTGCAATTTTCTTTCCACGTTTTTTATTAGTTTGAAAATATCTAAATCTGTAGGAATAGTGCATTATTTGGGAAGAGGCCCATGTATTTGGGAAGAGCCTGCTGTATAGGCCAGCATTCTCAAATTGCTGAAGTCCAACTATCTGTTGAAATGTATGGCAAAGAGCAGCAATGAAGTGTATTACTGAAAGGGTGCTTGATGCCCTCTTTACCACAGTGCCGTAAGCACCAGTTCTTGTTCAACTGTTTTTTTGCTGTAATAAGCATATGGTGGATTAGTACACTATACATGGGAAGAAGATATATGCTTCTTTCAGATACTATAAAAGCTGGTTTGCTTCTTTCGAGTGTTGTCTGTATTCCCTAAACAGCAGCCATGAGCTGAAGGATTGAGCTTAGGTCCTGTTCATGGATAATTTATTAATGGAATGTGACTCCGAGGAAATTTATATAACCCCTCTGTGCTACAATTTCCTCATTGTAAAAAGGAGACTATAGTACTTGTCTGTCTTCCTAAAAATACATTTTTTCCTGATTTCTACAGTGGATAAAAGGAAGCAAAAACAGCTGTTTTTCATTATAATTCATATGTTAATATGCCAGCATGGTATTTCTACCAAACAGCAGTAACAAAACGGAGCATGACACCATGTTCCTAGGGGCAGTGGTGCATTTGGTTCTAGAGGGCACTGAAAGGATGCTAGTTGTGCCCTTGCTCGTGTTGGCCACACTTTGGTCCCATGCAGACACAAACACCAAGGCTACAGACCATATACATCTCTAAATTTGAAGGTGTAAGTGGTATTGAAGTAGTGATCAGTCCTTACATTTATCCTCTGCACTGGGATTTAACTCTTAGTGGCTGAATCAGCCTAGAAGTTAATGTAAAGATTTGCCAAGAGTGTTTTGAGACTTAAGTTTCCAAAGTTTTTGTATGCCAAGGACTATTGTTCTCATGCTTTAAATTTTAATGGCCATCTTATACAGGTAAACTTTTTTAAAAAGGTAAATGTTCCAAGAGATTTCCTGTGTACTTGCATGTCAGGTTACCGATGTCTGGAGAGTCAGCTGGAAGATGTGCCGGTATGAAATCAACATCCTCAAGTATTTTGAAGTTAAACTGTGAGAATGAGCACAGGTGGCTCTGTAAGAAAACTGAATGTAAGTTGCAATGAAGGAGTTTTATGAAAAAAAAACAACTTAAAACCAATCTTTTTTGCTAGTTACTGTTAAATATTTAAGTGGGAGAATAGAATCCAGTGCATATTAATCATATAAAGTAACTTTCATAAAAATTCTGCCCTAAACACAGCAGTCAGAAAAGAGGAAAAATGTTGTAAGAGTGTGTAGGCTAATGCCAGGGAGATCCTGAGAGTCTGTAAAGGGGCTGGTTGAAGTCATTGAGGGCTTTGTCTTTTTGGCTTGTGACAGTGAATCTGGTATTGTCAATGCAGCTGTGCATTTTTTTGTTTTCAGGTTTTGTTCAAGAGACTTTTATCATTATACTTTAGTAGGGGTGTACTGATAAAGATTTTTTTGACCAGTACCAATGGCTGATTATTACCCAGCCATATAGACTGATACCAATCCAATAGCCAATATGCAACATGGCAGCTTGGAGAGCATCATCTCTGGAAATGGGGCAGAGCTACAGGCAGCTCATCTGGGGGGCCATGGGAGGATGGCTTTCCACTGCAGCATGCACCCGCACAGGAGGTCTGGGGGGCATGTGCTGTCTGGATTTGTGCATGGGGCGAGGGAAGGCTGCCCACTGTGGGCTCAGGGCCAGGGGTTGCGCTGACCTCTTCCCAACAATAGGCTGGGTTAGGGCTCCATTTGGGGCAGACAGGGGTGGGCGGTGGCGCTGGTAGGGGGCTACAGGGTGAGCTACAACCACCCCAAAATTCCTTGTAGCTACCCTGTAGCCACCGATCCCAGCGCTGCCCCAGCTCAACTGCCCTGCTGGGAAGAGGCTGGTGCAGCCCCAAGCCCGCAGCAGGCAGCCTGCCCTTACCCTGTGCAAAAATCCGGGGGGCACATGTCCCCCATGCCTCCTGTTGGAGTGCACGCAGCAGTGGGGAGCTGCCTCTCTCTCCTCACCCTCCTGCCCCCCCAAGACAAGCCACCCATGGTTGTGCCCTGCTTCCAGGGTCGCATTCATTGCCCCGGCTGGGCAGCTGCTTCTGCCCTTGCCCCTGTCCCAACCCCACTCTCTCCCTCACTGTGGAGGGTCTCCATATGTCCCCCACCATGCGCCTTCCCCCTACAGACTTACTGGCAGGACGCTGCTTTTCAAGCTGCTGGGCTGCATTCCTGGTCATGTGCATGCTGTGGCTATGCGCATGCACGCGGCATTTAATGGTGACATTATTGGCTATACCGGCCAAAAAAAGCTGATTGCTGATAATATCAATTTTCCTTTTATTGGTGCTGTGCATGCACGCGGCATTTAATGGTGACATTATTGGCTATACCGGCCAAAAAAAGCTGATTGCTGATAATATCAATTTTCCTTTTATTGGTGCTGATTGGATATGGACCAATATATCAGTGCATTTCTATACTTTAGTTCTTTCCTTTTTTGACCTTAATTCTATGATGATTGAAGGCATGCTCAGGGAGCTACCAGTTGACTCACTGGTGTTGCACTTGAGTTTGCACCAAAAATCATGCATCTTTCATGACAGGTTACCCCAGGCCATATATTGCCCTGGTTTTAGAGGGAGTTGCACATAGATATTGAGCATAAGATCCTTATTTCAGAGGCTCACTTTGTTGGTGTGCTGCTGAGTGCAGGTATCTTTGTGCTGAACCTGTATTCCCAAGATGTGCAGTGACAGGGGAGACCTTGTCACAGTCAGTCCCTGATATTGTAACGTGTTAGCGATGGCTCCAGTGGCAGTGCTACCTCAAGCGATGGAAGGTGAGCAACATTGGAATATAACGTGAAACAAACTGATGCAGCCACATAATATGCGGCTAATGTTTAAAACCTCCAAATCTGGAGTTTCCTTGTGTCATTTGTGGATGTAAAATTGGTTGAATTTTTGCAAAAATTCTTTGAAAACAATGGTTGTGAGAAACTGTATTTTTTGATATAGCAAATTTCTAAATGCATGACTTAAATAAAGTCAGAGAACAGTTTTCATGATAAAAGATGCATTTTCACCTCAGGTTAATTTATCCATATACTTTGTGCATGATTTGATTTAATCCCAGACATAGTCTATGCCCACGTTCCAGATTTCTCAGGTGGTGTCAGAAAGTGACAATATAGTTAGAAAAGCCACAATCTAATCTATCCATAGCCAAAATTGCACCCAAAACTAATGATTGTTTTCAAAAACTTACTTTGAGTGTCTTCCCCAACCTGATAGTTGCAGCGTGCGCTTGTTTTGCTGTTTCTTTCTTTTTCACAGCACCAAACATTTTTGATGCGTTTCTTGAGCGATACCTATCAGGGCCGCTTTCATCAAAGAAAATATACGACTCCCTTCATGATGCCAAGATAGACTGTTTATACGACAACAACTGCACAGGAGTAGTTAAAGTCTCTAATTACTTCAGAAGAGTGGCAGGAATTGATGAGATCCATTTTTCTGAATTGGCTGCTGACTCAGATGTCGTTACGTACGTGAAACAGGGTATGTGCCACATACCAGCTAAAAATTTGCTGTAGGTACAGAAGAATCATCTGTGGTAAACATTCTCATTCACTGTTTAAAACTATAGTAATTTAATATGCCTATGGCTATTTAAAGCAAAGTCAAAGTATTTCATGAAAATGGGGCCATTTTTAGTTTTTGTCCCCAAAAATGTCTGTGTGCAGGTGTGTTAATTTGCCACACTTGGAAGTTTGCCGTACAAATGTTGAACAAAATTAGTCTGCTTCTTAGTAGTTCATTTCCTTTATCTTTTCTGTATCACCAGTTTTGAGTGTTCAATATAGTCTCAAAATCAACTTTTTATAAATAATTTTTTTCCCCAAATTTGAAAATGACAGATTCAGTTAAAATTCTGTGAAATACTTAAAAATTACAGTGTGAAGTACAGTTAGAGTCTTTTATATTACTTCCAAATATTAAATTCTTTAAAATGTTTTGGACTGATTCTGCCATAGAATGGATGTTTTTGGAGGGCATTCACCACATTTCCAATTCACTGTACTTTAAATGCCCTGTTCTCTATGCCAGGAAGATGCCCAGTGAAATCAGACCCTTAACTTTTATGTTTACATTTCAGGTAGCTGCATATAGATATAATATTATAATAGACCTCTTTGAAAAAGAGGTCAGCTATGAAATGTCAATGCTTCTTTGCCAGTTTGGGTACCTGTTCGTTTTTGGGGTAGGGCGGCCCCTGTCAGTGGCACAGATGACTACTCTTAAATTTTAAAACTAAGTTTGTTTATTGCTGTTGCATCTCTAGATCTCTAGTTTCTATACTTGGCTGTGATGGACAAGCGCTCACTCTTACTAATGGGCCCTAGGTAACATCAATATCTCCGAAGTCTGTGCTGAAATAGTGCCTTGGTATATGTTGGACCAGCTGGAAATGTCTTCTAACTTGTGCTAACTGTTGATGGCAGCTAGAAATTGCTCTGGTGCATAGGGTGACAGTAGCGGCATTGTGGTCTGAATACAACCTGGGGTTACCTTGCCTCTGGGTTGAGCTTTCTGTGACTTCAGCTAGCTGTAGGTTAGTTTTGTACCAAAACAGCCCCTATTGTTTGGCTGTTCCGTAATATATAAAGGGTACAATTGGGGCCTTTTATTGGTTATACCTTTGCATCACTGCCATGTAGTTGTAAAACTTTCTGTTTGGGAGTATTTTAAACCCTACTTCATGGTGTTACAAATGACTGCAGAACAATGATATGGGCCCCTGCTCTTTTAAATGATGCAATGCATGCAGTATGTTTTTTTTCTGCAAGTGAGTAAATGAATTTGCTTGTTGGCTGCAGAAATCCTATGAAAGGTCATACAAGTTAAGAAAATACTGCTTCCACAGCATCTTGGTTAAGGGCCTGGTTCTGGAGTTCCTAAAGAGGTGGTAAAACTGAACTCAGAATCATGTTTTTCCTTACAAATAATTTAGACAGTTGTTTAGCTACATCCCTGTTACTGTATTTTTAACTGTGCTCTGTTGATGATCTCCATGCAGAATGTTCTTTCGGATACTATGGAGAAAACTGTATGCAGCTGTGTCCCTCATGCCGTGGAAAGTTTAGGTGCAACTCAGTAATGGGCAGATGCCCAGAAAAGTTAATTTGCATGGACCAATTTAAAGGTGAAATTTGTGAATCAGGTACAGTAATAATTGGTTTGGCTTTTTGAATTTCCTTGTTCTGTTCACTGTGTGTAGTGCAGCCTAGCAAGATGTTTTAAAAAGGCTCTTGCCCAAAAACAACTTGGCCCATACTAGTAAATGTTCTCATGAGACATGAGTGTTTTTTTTCTAACCCAGATGAATTAATTTCTGAAAATACTGGGGCATGAGAGAACACAGGTTTGACAAGCTGAGTTTGCTAGTCCTAATTCACTAACTGGGAAACCTAACCTAAACCAGAAAGGGAAATCAGACCTACCGCCTCTGCTTCCTTGTGAAAGACACTGAGAGACATTTTGTCACATTCCCTTTTTGTATGGGGCAATACTGGCTTCTAGAGAGCTGAATGAGGAATTAAGCAGCAGACAGGGCTGGCTATTTTTTCTGCCTTGATGACATTTACAGGAAACTGTTGTGGGAGGAAACTGATTTTGCACCCCAGTTTCATGTTAAAAATATTCAGAATATTCAAGACTATTAAAAAAAACCCCTTAAATAAAAAGTCCAACAGCACAGATATTCAAATCAGGTATTTTTGTATTGGTTTAATGTATTTTTATAATTAATCTTATTAAATAATAAAGTTTCTTCTGGTTTTATAGTGGTACCTAGGAATAACAGTTAAGGATTAGGGTTCTATTTTAGCTGTTGCTTATAGAGACACAGTTTTGTTGTTTGTCTTTAGAAAGCACAGGTGTATTTGCAGAAAATTGGAAAACTTCTGAATTCTTGTCTCTCCCCAACCCTCCCTCTCCTGAGCTTCTTGCCTACCTATGTCCCTAGTCATGATGCATTGTCTATTGCCTGATGAGGTATGAGATATTGTCCATTTGAAGTAGCAAGTCTATATAGCTTTCTTTATTCCTTTTTTCCTACTTTTTCTTTGTTTACAGGCCTCACCAGTTTAAAATGCCCTCAAGATCCTATCTGGTGGTATTGGAATGGCAATTGTTACTACATAGAAAGGAAAGAGATGATGCCATGGGAGCAGGGCTTAGCTCTGTGTACATTTTATAACAATGCTAGTCTTTCTAAGCTAGATAATGAAGAAGAAAAGGTATTTTTTGCAGAAAATTTGTTATGTTCAGCCTAAAGAACACAACAATTTTAACATCTCATGTGTATTTTATATTGTTAAGCCTGGAAGTTGAGTTAATTTCTCTCTCTGTTTTGCCTCTCTCTTGGGATGTTTTAGTCTTGTGCATGACTTTTTAAGACAGCAGGAACAATGATGACATGTTTGTTTGAGAGGTAGTTCAAAGAGAAGCCCTTTGTGGGAACTTAGTTATAGTTTCCTCCTGCTTTTGATTTCAGATGTGGGTAGCTTCCATGTTGGAAGGTGACGCCTGGATTGGTTTGTCAAGGCAGCAGGATGCCTGGAATTGGATTAGTGGACATGGAGCTGAACTTAACTCCAGTTGGTAAGGAGATAGCTAACTTAATGATGAGAGCTTAGTAGGTAAGGGGTTGGGCAGGGGGATGATATATGCACGACTGTTTCATGGTATCAACTGGTCTTCATTAACCTGAGGTTTTTCTAACTAATTCCGTGTTTTTATTTCCCCAAATCAGTGTGCTGGTCTGAAGTGGAATAGTTCAGTGCTGCTTCACATTATCAGTGACCGTATTCATGTTCTTTATAGATTTGCATTCAGCTATGAGTTCTAGATTTTGCACTTGATACATTTGGTGAGCATTAACATTTTTGTTGAGAAAGAATGAGAGCTTTTATACTTGCTAGTGTAATGCTTCATGAGCTAAGATGTAGACAGTATCTGAGCCAACTTTTTCACTTAGTACAAATAATAGGTCAGGTATTACCGTATCAGGCACTGAGGACCCTGTTGTAGAGATAGTTGAAAAAAAAATACACGAGAAGATGTATTCAAATTTTGAAAAAAAAGTAATCTTACGTTCAAATTTCAAAAATGGCTGCTAACACATTTCTTAGCACCTGTACTTCAGTTGAGGAGTTACCCCTGTGACTTCATTCTACTTCACTGTTGCCTAAAGGGTTGCAGGTGTCTACCATAAGAACCAGTAGTTATGCTACCTTTCCTACCTTAACACAGAGAAAGTACAGCCCAGTGGTTGGCTCCAGCACCAACAAACTTTGGCAAACTGGTCAGTGTGATTGTACCTCATTTTACTATACTGGGAATAGTATCATCACTGCCTTAATGAGATGTGGTAATGATAAATATATTAAAGATTGTGACTGTTTGCAGACATTAAAAAAAAGTGGTGATTTAAACTTGGCATGCTCCTGTGCTGAGCCCAGCACATGCCCAGAAGAGGCATTGTGTTAGTTGGAACCAGCTCACCCAAAGTCTGTATAGATTGGGCACTAGTGGGGCTTTTTTGGTGCTTTTATCTAATAGCCAATTGAATCAGCTTTAGATAAAAGTGCCAAAAAGCTCTGCTGAAGCACCCAATCTATATAGATGCCGCAGAACCAGGTCTAAGTAACGTGCTGCTTCTTTCAGTAAAGCATATTTTTTGTTTTGTTTTGTTTTTTAACGTCTGCAAGCAGCCCATGAGTTTGGGTATATGAAAGCCATCTTCATAGATCCTAGGGTCGGAAGGGACCTCAGTAGGTCATTGAGTCTGACCCCCTGCCCTGGGCAGGAAAGAGCGCTGGGGTCAGACAACCCCAGCTAGGAGCATGTCCAGTCTCCTCTTGAAGACCCCCAAGGTAGGGGAGAGCACCACCTCCCTTGGAAGCCCTTTCCAGATTCTGGCAACGCTAACTGTGAAGAAGTTCTTTCTAATGTCCAGCCTAAATCTGCTTTCCATCAGTTTGTGGTCATTGTTCCTACTTACTCCAGGGGGTTCCCTAGTAATAGAGCATCTCCTATTTCAGGGGCGGGCAATTATTTTGGGCGGAGGGCTGCTTACTGAGTTTTGGCAAGCCATCAAGGGCTGCATGACAGGCAACCAGGGGCAGATAAATATTAATTTTCTAAATTTTTAGGGGCCCTGCAGGCCGGATAGAATGGCCTGGCAGGCCGCATTTTGCTCACCCCTGTATTCCTTGCAGCCCTCCCCGATGAATTTATAGGCAGCCACAAGATCACTTCTCTCAGCCTTGTCTTATGAAGGCTGAAGAGATCTAGGTCCCTCGGTCTCTCCTTGTAGGCCCTTGCCTGCAGGCCTCTGACCATACAAGTGGCCCTTCTCTGAACCCTCTCAAGATTCTCTGCATCCCTCTTGAAGTGCAGCGTCCAAAATTGGGCGCAGTACTCCAACTGCGGTCTGACCAGTCCCGCCTAGAGAGGAAGCATCACCTCTCTGGACCTGTTTGCCATGCATCTGCTAATGCATGATAAAATGCGGTTAGCCTTCTTGATCACTTTGTTACATTGACGACTCATGTTTATCTTGGAGTCAACTATAACTCCCAAGATCCCTTTCCGCTGCTGTGCTGCTGAGAAGGTCATTGCCAGCCTGTAAGTGTGTTGGTGGTTCTTTTTGCCCAGGTGCAGCACTTTGCACTTGTCTTTGTTGAACTGCATCCTATTTCGTTCTGCCCCATTTTCCAACCTGTCCAGATCTGCTTGGATCTGTTCCCTATCCTCTGATGTGTTAACTTTGCCCCATAATGTGGTATCATCTGCGAACTTGGACAGGGTGCTCTCTACGCCCTGGTCCAAGTCACTGATGAAGACATTGAATAGCACCAGTCCAAGGACCGAGCCTTGTGGGACTCCACTACTCACATCTTTCCAGGTCGATATCAAGCCGTCCACCCCCACTCAGGTGTGGCCCCCTAAGCCAATTTGCAAACTCACCTGACTGTGTAATTGTCTACACCACAGCCTGTCAGTTTTTTTTACGAGAACAGAATGTAGTACGTATTGAAGGCCTTCTTAATGTCTAGGTAGAGGACATCTACCTCGACTCCTGCATCTAAGCATTTTGTGACCTGGTCATAAAAAGAAACAAGGTTAGTCAGGCAGGATCTACCTGCAGTGAACCCATGCTGATTTCCTTTCAACATTATTTCCCCTGCTGGGCTCCCACAAATGTGATCCTTAATGATTTTTTCTAAATTGAATTGACAGGTAGATTCATAACGGCTACACTTTATCTAAAAACAATCTCCCAGAGTGCTGTGCAGGCTGGTTCTGAGATAGACATGTCAATAATGGTTATAGGTTCTTGCCCTTGTGGCTCCTTGGTGATAGTATTCCTGTGATGTGATGTCACTGCTTTATTGTTCATTACTGATTAATGAATAAGGGCTAATGCCTTCTATTTTAGAAATGTCTGTCCTTCCTGAGGTACCTGGGAGTTAGGGTATATTAAAATCTGTCTGGTGGGAGACTCACTGGAAGGTTTGGTTCCCCATTCCTCTCATCCTGCGTAGTCTAGCTACATTGCTTAGTCACTGCTACATTGGCAGTGGTGCTTCGCTTGTCCCCTTAAACTCAGCCCCTGCATTGGAGACCAACCCCAGCTTTTGCCTTGCCCTAAATGTATTTCTACTAGTATAAATCCCGTGTATAACTATGGTAAAGATCTAACAGCCACAGTTTACGCTTGCAATTTATCCTGCATTCAAACAGGGGTAGTTTCTGTCACAACCCAAAGTTGTGGATTTTTTGATTGTGTGTGCTTCGGCAGCGCTAAATTATGTTCCCGCCGAATTGCAGCTCTTTTGCACGACGGAGTGTTCCGTTGTTATAGAGAACCC